GGTACGGATACATCCCATGAAGAAGATAACAAAGTGTAATGATACGTAACACAGATGGCAAACTTTGACCCACTGCCCAAATTTAGCCTGCAGTCTGTTTGTATGCCCTGTGAGCCAAGAATGATTGTTTACATTTGTAAATATTTGAAACAAATTAAAAGAAGATTTCACAATGCACGAAAATGACAGGAAATTCAAATTGCAGTGTCCATAAAGTTTTATTGGAACCCAGCCACACCCTATGTGATCTGCCCTGGCTACTTCTTCAACCTCATCAACTGCACTTCTGGACTCCCCCTGCCTCCAGTCACACTGGCCCCCTGGCTAACACCCAAACACCTAAGCCAATTCCTGCACCCACCACGGCCACTGCACTGACAGTTGCCCCTTCTTCCCTCACCTCCTTCAGGTCTCTGCACATACGTAATCGAATCAGAGAGGTCTCCCCAACCCATCACTTTGCATCCTCTCCCCCTACTTAATTTTCTTCATGGCAAATATCACCCCTGACATCTTACAGATTTTCATATTGCCCACCTCTACCCACCACACTTGGAATACAAGTTCCAAGAGAGTTGAAACACCGTCTTATTTCCTGCTGCATTCCCAGCCCCAATATCAATGTCTCGATATAGTAGGTGCTCAATAAATGCCTGCTGAAAAATAAATGAATGACTAGTTGAGTATTGGAAAGTTTTGATAAGAGACAAGGGAGATTCTTTACAAACAAGGACACCACAACCAGCCAAGGCTTTCATGATGCAGGGGGGCCTCAGGGTGTGTTTGCTTTATAATGCCCCAGTATCTTGGTAGGGAGTGTAAAAACTAGTGGCCAGGGAGGGAGTGGACTCACTACCACAGAAGCAACCTAAGAAGAAATGTTTCATCTCATCTCATCCCAATCACATTCCCAATTATATATAGTTTCCACCCTCTCTGTTCATCTCACATGGTAGGAAAAAGTTGGACCAAGAAATGTGCTCAGAAACATGTTTACTGTCATTTGTGTCCCCATTTCTCTAGCACCTCTATTCAATTGTGGTTATAATAAATGTGTCTGGGACTTCCAGATCTTATGACTTCAAGTTCTACATGGAATCATCTATGTGTACACATACTCTTATTCTCATTCCGGAAATTGTCTTTGTAAGGGGTTTATAGTAAAGGTTTAGCCGCTGGACTAAATTAAGGTTTTTAAATTAAAAAAATAAGTCATACAAGGAAGTACTATATTCAAGATGTAAGACACAGAGGGCTCTGTTGTATCCTGGGTACCAATAATGTGCCATAGTGATATAAAAGCTCCAACTACCAGTTATAATGACTAACTAGGTTAGAACAGATCTGTGTATAGAAGCAGACAATTTAAAACATTTAACAACAAGTTCATAAATGAAGAAAAAAAACCAGTGGAATATATTTCAGGTGTCTTGTGTCAAGGACTGTGTCTGATAGAAAAGTGGACAAGAGCTTGTTGGGCCATTTGACTAGGAATAGTCAGCGGACTTTCCCGTATGTGACTTTGGAAGCAGAAATAGGGCAGGGAGTAGAAGCAGGTCTGCTTCATTTAATATGGAAGGTGCACCTCAGTCCTTGTTATTCTGTTCACCTTAGAGACAATTTCAGGCAAAGGCAGGTGACACAAAGGTGATGAAGTTTTGTGAGCCATGTGGCTTCTCATAAAAGTTAGAGGTATCCCACATTCCTATGGATCTTGGACTTACTCATTCTTAATGCAGAATTTGAATGACTCCCTCACCCAGCAATATCTTCCACCAGTGAAGTTAGGAAAGGGGGTGGATTTAAAAGGTAGTATGGAGGGAAGACAAAGAAGAAAGAAACAAATTTTGTCAGAAGAGTTGTAAAAGCCTACAATGACCTGGAATTATTTCTTTATCACTATATTGATGTCTTCATCAGTGACATGGAAAAGATTTATGGAGGCTGACTTCCCCTAGCGTTTTAAGGAGACCCTAAAATTCCTGGAGACAATAATTTTTTACTAAGTAAACCAGAAATAGTGCTGGCCACAAGGCCAATGTGAATGGCAGGACAATGAGGTTGCAGGTACTTATTCACCAAATGTCCAGAGTGTCTATGATATTGTACTCAGGGCTGTCATATACAGATGTAAGTCTATGTGGATGGAGATCCCTAGAGTTGTGCAGTGCATACCCTGTGCAACTGTATATGACTGCCCCAACTGTATAAACAAGCTGGTGAAAGTAGAAATAAATCCCACATCTAAGCAGTAATCTGATTATATTAACGAGCCAAGAATAGGCACTGGGTTAACCCTATTTCTAGAAGAAAACATGTTCTTCTTAGATCGAGAAACTTAACAGCTAAACAGTATATACAACGGATTCAAGTTGGGATTTTCAAACACATTTCCATGTACCATTGAACCCAAACAGCTATCCTTGCAAGCACAAGTGGAAGACTCATGAAATTAGGATGCCTTACACTCAAATGGCATTCAACACAATTGTCTAGGATACTAGCAGCTGTTTGCATGGTTGCTGCAGTAAAAAATTGTTCACAGACTCATAGAACTACAGTAGAGGAAATGCTAGTCTAAGGTGAAAAACAGACAGTGTTCAAAGCTAGAAGGAGAGGACTGAGCTGGAAGTGGGGGTGCAACAGAGGGACAGAATTGGCACCATCATCCATTCCGGAAAAGAGGTAAGAAGAGGGGAGGGTGGGAGAAGAACATGCTCATGCACCTAGCACTGAGGAAGACCATGACACTTCTCATAAGAAATGAAACATTTTTATCTCAAAAAGCAAAACCTAGTATTCAAATACCAGTTTCCCAAACCATTACCATCCTAAATATACTTTCATACTAAATTTTCATTCAACAAGAAGATCATTAATGTTAAGAAACATATTTCTTCTTAGTGTTTTCTCTTAAGAAAAATTTGGGGAGAAAAAACTATACCGATGTGATATACCCCATTCTCCCTCACCATCCAGTCACATCTATGCCAAAAATTCCATTTAACTTTAGGCAACTCTTTTTTTCATATCAGAAATAATTTAATTGAGCTGGGGGTTGAGTGGATATAAGCTCAGTATATGTAGTTTCACTTTTTAAAGGAAATTCTGATATATAAGAAAAAATTGCTAATAGTACTAGGAAGCATGTAAGGCTGCATCTTGCTTGTTAAGGACATGCTTTCTGTCACATGCAAGTTTAGCTGCTTTCCTCCATTGCCCGATTAAGCAAATTTATATTTTAACAGTAAATTCAAAACATTTAAAACTTCACTGTGTCTGGGACACCTAAAGAATTCTTGCTGTTTCTGCTCTTTAAAAGAGCTGAATGACCTAAACAATATTACTTATTTTCAGTAATTCAGAGTCTACTCACTCTCTTCTTTTTAAATTCAAATAATTTTTATTAATTGTGTATTATATACAGTCTCCTCTCTTATATCATCAAATAAATTGATGTCTTAAAAGTAAAATGGAAACATTTTAAAACTCGATGAGCCCAGCACATCTAAAAGATTCCTGAGTTTTGCGGACTTAAAGAAAAAGCTGGACAGCTTGCAAAGGCTGACATGCTTCAAACAAGTCAGACTTTTTTTCTCCTCTTACCTATGCTCAAAATTGGATTCCCTTTTACGTACAATCTGACATTAAGATCCAACATCGTGGTACAGTAAAAGCAGTAAATGGAGCTGTGATTTCTCCTGCGTGCACTTGGAATTTGAAGAGTTAGAAAGATGTAGACTGCTAGACAAGGTGACTACCCCTAACACAGTGTTGTTCAAGCTTTTTTTTTTTTTCTTATCAACCCCCACCCTCCTCACCAACAATCCCAACCAGGAGCCTTTTAAGACATTTTCCCCTATAAAACTTTAATACAGATATACAATATATCTGTTTCTGTACTGTATGTATATCTGTGCTTTATATTTCAAAAAAGACTTTTTCGCACCTCCCCCGCTTAAACCAAATTTCCCCTGCTGGGGGCGATATCAGCCCTGTTGAGAATGCATATCCTAAAATAACAGCTACGAAAACTCAAGCCCACATTTAACTGTCTATTCACAGCCAGAAATTCCTAAATCAATAATGATTTAGCACCACTTCAGTCAAAACAATTACATCTGAATCATTTTCAAAATAAAAAGCTTAAAAATATATAGCCTATGAAATACATAAAATTAGGAGAAATACTGTTCTAGCAGTCAATAACATCCCAGTTAATTTTTTTTTGTATTACTCTCAATTTGTGGGCTCTACTTTTTGCTTACTCATAGAACCAAAGATTTGATTACTGTTCAATTTCACATGCATTTCAAGAAGCAAAAAGCCAATACAACCTCAAGAAAACATTTTTCTGGATGGTGGCAATTGGTAATTTGTAAAACCAGATAGAAAACATCCACAGAAAGCACTGTAATTTTCAATCTAGAGAAGAGATAAACTAACCTTTGCTACTTATGAATGACCTGAAATAAATGGCCCACAAAGTTATCTGTGTCATAAAAACAAATCAGTGCCTCATCAAGGAAACCGCTGTGCCATTGACATAAACAATTTAGGAGAAACTTCTCCATCTGAAAAGATTACAGAATATTCATGTTCTGTTACAACTCAAAAAAAAAAAAAAAAAAACCCAAA